AGATGACAAAATTCATGCTCCAAAGAATCAGTCTTTTCTGACAGTATAGAATCCCAGACGAGGAACTATCCAAATATGGAACTTAACAGATGTTAGCTTACAGATCTCAAGAGATCTGTACCTCAAGAATCTCAGTGAGATATTGGAGAGATGTTCACAATTTCAGTCCTTTAGTGTGGCTGAAGTTGGGAAATTTCAAAAACGATGTGCATTTAGACCACTAAGAAATGTACCCCATTCAACAAATTTTCCTATTTGAGAAGTGAGAGGCCTTGTACTCTTAGTATATTCATTGGGGCCAGAGAACCGACAACAAATAAAAGCATGACAAATAGGTAACTTATTGACATGTTAGCTGCTAAGGTGGTCAGAGCCGTTCTCATTGAGAGGGTAACTTAAAAGCAGACTGAAGAAAATGGAAGGATCCAGCTCAGAGCTGTGGGGGAAAGTGTTTCTAAGGAGACAAGAGAAAAGGCAAGAGTATTGCAGTGCATTGCAGGGAGCCAAGGAGGCAGCAAGCCTCCAGCTTGTATGGTTGGAGCCTACAAGCAATGTGGAGAAAGCAGGAATGGAGAGCAGTGAAGGATCTGATCACAAACGGCCACTTTGGTCACTTGTTGCTATGACTTAGAGTCATAGATGGAGTCTTTGATCATGGTTGTAGCAAAGTTGGTGGTAAGATATTGTTGGACTGTGAATATGTATTTTTTTTAAGTAAAGCCAAATCTTCCCTGTCAAACTGAATGCAGGTATTAAGGAAAGAGCACCTAGCAAGTTGGAGTTGTCAATAGCTGAGTAGAGAGTTGAGCAATTTGGGGAATGTTAACTTGCCATCCAAGTGGTGGTGTTGAGGAAGGAGTTAGGACTTACTAGCTAGAGGACTAGAAAGGTCTGAGTGGCAGCTAGATCTTAGAGTGTTGTCAACAGAGGTACAGAATCACGATACTGGGATAGTGATATGAAGGGAGAGTGGATTTGGGAAAAGGAGGGTCAAGAAAGGAACCTTGAATCACTGTGAGTATTAAAGGACTAGAAAGAAGGGAACCTGCAATTATACTAGAAATGAGTGGCAACTAAACAGAAAGGGTATAGTGTTGTTAGTGTTTAAGTATTTCATTTTGAAGACTTCAGAAGGTTGCTAAAAGGCCTCATTTTGCTTCTAATTAAGTAAGAAGATTATACTATAGTTCAGGAAGGAAGGAAGGAAGGAAGGAAGGAAGGAAGGAAGGATGGAAGGAAGGAAGGAAGGGAAAGTACTGTAATAAAATAGAATTAAAGAGAAAGAGGGATAAAGAATTATAGGTGTGTTTTATCTCAATTTAAATCTTTAAATCCTCAATATTGGCCAGTTAGACATAAGTGTTTGGGACCAGTTTTAAAATTTTTAAATTAGATGTTTTTATTAGTTTAAATCTCATCAAAATTATTTTGTTGTGCTGGTCCTGGGACTTAGGGCCTGTGCATTGTCCCTTGAACATTTTTGTTTAAAGTTATTACTCTACCACTTGAGCCACAGCTCCACTTTCAGCTCTTCGATGATTTACTGGAGATAAGTCTTCCAGTCTCTGCTGCCTGGGCTACCTTTGAATGATGACCCTCAGATCTCATCTTCCTGAGTAGCTAGGATATAGGCCTGAGTCACTAGCACCTGGCTCACCTGAATTATTTTTGAGTCATCTGTAACATTTGATTGTATCTTGCTTTCTTTTCCTTTAAGGAGGAAAAGAAAGAAGGAATTATTCCAGCTGTTTCTAAAAAGTTATTTCAATTGGGCACAAAAATTTAAATAATCACCTCAATTTTAGAGATGAGGGAACTAGAATTCTCAAAAAGAACTTGGTTCAGTTCCATATTTGGAAGCAATGCATACTAGGAAGCATTTTCCTACAATCAATTAGAGAAAGATTAAAATTTTAAAGAATTCTTTCTTTATGTTTTCTTTAAAAGTAGGTTCCTAGAAATGCTCAAAGTTGCTCCTGAGTCTCCCAGGGCTCCCTGAGTCTGGGTAGTTGAAATGGGATTATACTTGTTAATGGTTAGTGAATAAATTATAGTTATCTCTTTAATTAATCATTGCTCTGCACTCCTTATTATAGTGCTAATGGAATATTTCTGTAATTATTTGTCCATATGGAATGGTTTCTCCATTTTTCCTCCTGAAATGTCACTGTCATGTGGGAGTTATACTAGCAGAGCACCATGGTTTTCAAAATTAGGGTTCCCCTCCACCAAACAAATCTCCAGCAGAAATGCCACCATCTGACTATATTACAAAAGTGTTAAGTCAAATGGTCAACTCACATAGGCTATCTAAGACATTCTAGGACACAAAATGAGAATTAGAATTAAGCTAGGAAGGGAATGGAAGCTTTAAAAATTGAGGCTACAACTCATACAACAGTGGCTCATGTCTGTAATCCTGGCTACTCAGAAGGTTGAGATCTTAGGGTCAAGATTTGAAGCCAGCCTAGGCAGGAAAGTCGTTGACACTCTTGTCTCTAACCACCAAAAAGCTGGAAGTGGGGCTGTGGTTCAAGTGGTAGAGTGCTAGCCTTGAGCAAAAGAATCTTAAAAAAAAAAATCTCAGGGACAGCACCCTGAGTTCAAGCTCCAGTTTGAGCATAAATTTTTTTTAAATCAATTGAGGCAACTTTCTGGTGCTTAATACATTTGTTGAACAGATCAATGTCATTCCTATTGTCATACTACAAACTTTAATATGACTGCTATATTATACAGTGATGTAAATGTTGCTTCATTTCAAATTAATTAAGTGATCAATATTTGGCAGATTCTTATGAAAGCCCTCTAAGAGCTCACAAGCTTTACAGTTCCAAAACTTCTTCACGTTCCTGAGTTCTCCAGCATCCCGAGAGTCCTGGGCTGACAGTCATTACCCCTCATTTTTCTTTGCTCTGTTTTGGTTTAGAGGACTGAGCCCAGGGTTTCAGCATGCTCTAAAGGTGTCCCACCACTGGACTATACCTCCTTCTCATCCGTAAATTTAGGATGGGAAACACTGGGCTTGAAGAGGAAAGCTGACCAACATTACATGACCAAGAATAGGATACAAGGTACAGGAAATGGTAGCAGGGCAAATATGTCTCATTTATCCTCTGCTCTATGATTTTCAACCTCCTCCTTGATATTTGCTGTTCAGAGGTGCCTACCAGAACGCCATTCTCTCCTTTCCTCTGTCATTCTTATCAGCCTCCCTTACAGTTAGATATAGGGCTTAAGAAAGTCTCTATTAAGGACATGTCATGTGCTATGGTCCTTTTTCCATCCATCATGGGTGGAATGTACAGTGATGGGGTTCTAACAATCCTCTTGGATCATGAATATGGTATCTGGAAACACATAGGAAAAAGTGGAACTATAAGTCCAATAGTAAATCTCTGACAGCTTCATGAAGCCAGTTATTTCATTAGGTAGAAGAAAATAAAGTCTTACTTGCTCTGGGTCACTACTATCTGGTGTTTTTCCTATCATCTGCAGCCAAACTAGTCACAACTGAGCCACTTTTCATTACCACTCTAGATCGTAAACACTATTTTCTTCTTAAAATTTGCAATTCACAGTACAAGTTTGTGCCATCCATTAAGCAAGTAAAATCTCTTTCTGAAGACAAGTAGACTAAGTCACTTTTCCTGGATTTGTATTGTACCTTTCCAACAAGCTTTATGCATCTTGAGGGGAGAACACTAAATAATACTTTTTTTTCCCTTCATTGCTATGATTCCTAACAATGTATCTAGCATAGAGTACATGTCCCCTAAATGCTCACTGCCTAATTATAGCATCATTAGCCTGTAGAAATTCTCTGGGAAGGTGAAATAATAGGATAAATGAAAACATGTTTTCAAAGGATGGAGGGTTTTTTAAAAAAGGAAAAAACAAAGAAGACAAAATCTGCACAATGTAGTTATGGCTCTGATCTTCTGCATTGCCACTAACATGACCTCCAGTCCATTAGAAATTTCTTCTTCTGTTTTCTTGAAAATAAAAGTCATCTACACAATGACTGTCTTGTAGATAGAACCCAATTTGTTGGAGAGTAAGGCCTCTACAGGTTGTGTTTCAAGACTGTGGAAGCCACTTGGTTTCAAAGTTAAAGCATCTTACAACTTTCCCTCCAAGTCCCCATATCAAATATAGCAGGCAATTACATTTGTATAAACTACTTGTTTCCCTTTCTGGGGCCCCTCCTTGCTCTTGGAAACCTTGAGCTGTCTGCTTTTCTATAGAGACCCATTTTCTTCCACATATCTATAGTGTCCCAATGGCCTACTATGAACATTGGGGAGAAAGGGCAAGTGAAACTGCAGAAAGAACAACTCATCTGCACAGAGATGAGAAAATCAATCAATAAAAAGCGGAAAGTCATTTAGGATATCAAAAGAAAACAAAATCACTTTTTAATTTACTTTCTCTTTGCCAGTTCTGAAGTTAAGCACTTGCTCTTTCCTTATGGGGTTGAGTCTTTTTGAGTAATTTTTTCCATTGTAAGCACTTTCTAAAAAATCATTTTCGCACATTTCTCAGATACATCAATCCTTCCGGCATTCCTTCATGCACCCATTATGGTACCCCAGCTCTAAATATAAAAGACTTTTATTATGTCCATTAACCATGGACATGTGTGCTCCAAAAGTTTCCTGACACGCAGTCATTTGTGGTTTTTTAATTATAAACAGAAAATATTCACTAGAAAAATAAAGAACTGGGCTCATAAATATATCTTTATACATTTGAGTTTTGTTTGTATATGACCAACAATTGGGTAAATGGCTCTCTCGATTGCTGGCTTCAGGATGTGAGCATGCATGTGTTTATATATACACAGGGACACACATGCATTGGCATGTGCAATTAAATCCACACATGACACAGAATATCAACATCTGTAATTGTGAGTGCTGCTGTCTTGTTTCTAAAATAAGGGCACAGAGTTTCTTTAGGTCTCACTCTACGGGAGGAAAGATACTTGACAAACAAAGTCAGATTTATTGAATGCGTTTTATTTTAACAACCAAAAAATTCTAACAGCCTAACAATGCACATAAGTTAAAAATTAATTATCACTTAGTGATAACAAAGATAGTTGATTTACATGGAAAAAAGAACATTTACAATATGTTAATCCTTATTCACATTGTTGATACTGCAATAAAACACAATTTGTTTTTTTTTTTCATTTCACAAAAAAAAGGCGGGAAATTGTGCTTTGTCAAGAGGCACTACAAGAGAAAGTTTCTTCTTCCAAATAGATATTATATGACAGATATTGAATAAATAGACATATATGCATTGTAATTCGCAAAGATCTGGCAAGACCACAGGCTAAAATGCCCACAGATTCACTTAGAACCACTGCAGACTTGGCAGTGAAATTAAAAAATAAAAGGCAAGACTTAGCATTGAAAAATACCTAATAAATTTTTGGTTGAAGTGTAAAAGATACCAAATGCGGATGCCATCCATCAATGAACCACCTTGTGAGAGCTTGGCAAAAATGGTGTCTAGATGTACACAGAGTGACCTTCAGCAACAGTGTCAGAAGACAATTTGGAAAGAGTAACTCGGAGATCAGGAAGCAGCAACCATGGACTTTCTGTTTAAAGCTGCAGCATTCTTCAGAAAAAGGAAGGATGGGCCCAGGGCTGAAATGCCAACGGCCATCCTTTTGCAAAGATACATGATGCTCATGTCAATGTCAAGATAATTTTTTTTAAACATCATTTTTTGAAAAAGTACAGGAAAATGTCCCTTTAAAAACTCCAGAGGTTACTGAGCAGCTAGAATTAGCTTGTATTGCAACATGTCTTCTCCCTGTATAGTGTAAATTCTGAGTCCATATCTACACATAGAAGTTTTGCTTTTTTTGTTTTTTAACTCCTACCTTTTAAACCTTTCAAATATATAAATAGTATTAACAGTTATATTACAATGTTCGTGAAGTAAACAGAAAATAACTTTCAAAGTGATATTGCATGAGGTCTTTGACAAGGTTGCATGAGAACACAACTTGAGAAATAAAAAAAAATAATAATTCAACCATACGGGACTGCCGAGGGGCCATTTCCAAGCCTAGAGGAGGTTCTTGAGGCTAGTCCAAAAGGGGAAGTCTCCTCTTGCAATTACTGTAAGTAGAAGTGGAAAGTAACACTACTGGTATTTCTGATCAGAAGCTGACGGCAATCTGGAAAGCTAGAGGAGACTTCAGCTTTAATGCTCATTCCACTAAACAGCCAGTTGGCATTAGTTCTGCTGCACGTAAGAGAATTGCTATGTGGGGAACTGGGACACTATTTCCTTTTATGACGAGTAGGTGATTCTACTGGAATCGCTTCACTTACCCTATTGCCTGAAGCTGCACCATGACTCAAAAACAGGTTCTGGTTAGGGCTATGGATCAGGGAAAGGGACTGGAAATGTTTGGCTAAGGTGGATGGAATGTGTATTATAAAGAAGAGGAAGTTGAAAGTGAAGTAGAAACAAGAAATGTGTGGGGAGAGAGAAGGAGGGAGACTTATTTGAGAGGGAGGCCCTTTACCTGGGCAGCAATTTCTTTTCTAACTTAACATTACATTGAACTATTTTCTATTAAAAACAAAAAACAAAAACAGCAACAACGAACAACTTTTTAAATGAGCAGGCTTAATAACTGTAAGATCTGCAGCCACAGGCAGGTAAATAAATTTCACAACAAAACGTGGCTCATAATATGAATTCCGTATGTCCAACATCAAAATGCCATTGATCAAGACTGCACTAATGGATAAGGTTTTCCATACTGAATTTCAGCCTTATTTGGAATTCCACAGAAATGTATCTGTTCATGACAGTCCTGACAAACTGAATAATGGAACATATCAAGTCATTTTTATTGAGTCATTTTAAGTATGCACTGTGTCTTTAAGAGTAATTTTACTTGTACCATTTTATCACACCCTAATTTTTTTTTACTTTACTTTCTTCTCCCTTCCCTTCCCTTCTCTCTCTCTCTCTCTCTCTTTTTCTCTGTTTTGGCAGTGTTGATTTATTTTGTTAAATACATACCTCAAAAATTACCCATTAAGCTGCCAGATAGGAAGCCATAGAATTAAAAAAAAAAATTCAGGGACAAACACAAAAATAAATAGGAATTCAAAAATAGTCACCCCACCCTGAGAGCAGGCCGCAGTTTATCAAAAAGCCAAAGCAACTCACTGTGAAGTGGTGTTTTAATACATAAACAAGTCTTTTCTTTAAGAACTCATTTCACAGTCTATTCTTTCGGATTGCAAAGTTCTCTGTCCCATGCAACTTTAATATATATATGTAAATATAGAGATATATACATATACATATACACACACACTTGTCGCTTCCTTCATTTATTTCGCTGGTCTTTCTATCCTGGAATTTGCTTGATGTCTCTTCCGTAAGTGCAAGGATAATGAAGGCAGAGTCTCCTGTGGTTATAATTACGACGGTCCAGTCGATTGTAAAAGTATAACACTTGGTGTCTTTGCCAAGGTGATATCTGATTCAGAAATACTGAACTGATTCAGTCTGTAGGTATATCCTGTGCAACAGAGAAATGTCATAAAGATAAGAAAAAAAAATAAAATAGACATTTAAAAAAAAATAAAGCCAAAAAATTTGTTTAACGAAAGAAAGGAAAACAGAAAAATCCTTGGACCCAATGTATTGCTTTGCCTGGGGGGAGGCTGACATTATCTCTGGTCGCTCTCGGCCGGCGGGGCCTTGCTCTTCTCGGCGCTCTCCTCCTCGGCCTCCACTTTGTACATCTCCTCCGAGCCCTCCTCGCTGTCGTTCTCCTCGGACTCGGTCAGCAGCTCCTCGTCCTTGTACTCGGCCACGTCCACGGCAGAGCCCAGGTGCTCCTTCAGCTTGCCGTGGTGCTTCACGTGGTACCGCTGGTTCTGGAAGAACTTGATGATGGTGTGTTTGGGGAGGTCCAGCTGCGCCGAGAGCGTGTGGATGGCCTCCTGGTCGGGGTAGAGGCCCACGTCGTGGATGAAGCTCTGCAGGATGCCCAGGGCCTCCAGGGAGATCTTGGTGCGGGAGCGGGGCTTCTTGGCACAGCTGTCTTCGGCGGGCGGCGGCGGCGGCGGCGCCTCCTCCCTGGGCGGGGAGCTCTCCTTGGCGGGCTGCGACTGCTGTCTGTGGAGGACCTGGCCATGGAGAGAAGAAGAAGACGACAATGAGCACCTGCCACGCGGCTGAGGTCTGCCCAATGAGCACCTGCCACGGCTGAGGTCTGCCCAATGAGCACCTGCCACGGCTGAGGTCTGCCCAATGAGCACCTGCCACGGCTGAGGTCTGCCCAATGAGCACCTGTCACGGCTGAGGTCTGCCCAATGAGCACCTGCCACGGCTGAGGTCTGCCCAATGAGCACCTGCCACGGCTGAGGTCTGCCCAATGAGCACCTGCCACGGCTGAGGTCTGCCCAATGAGCACCTGCCACGGCTGAGGTCTGCCCAATGAGCACCTGCCATGGCTGAGGTCTGCCCAATGAGCACCTGCCACGGCTGAGGTCTGCCCAATGAGCACCTGCCACGCGGCTGAGGTCTGCCCAATGAGCACCTGCCATGGCTGAGGTCTGCCGCCTGTGTCTAGCGCGGCCCCCGGGACGCCCGCGGCTCCCCACCGCCGTCCTGTGGGCCAGCAGGCAGAGTCCTTCCTGTGTGGTTCAAGGTCATCGGACCTCTTCCATCCCTGGAACCACGCAGGGTGCACCTGCGGGCTCTGTGACCAGACACCAGGGTTCAAATCCAGATTGCTCTACTCAGTTGTCTTGAGCAAGTAACTCGGCCTCTCTGAGCCCCAATTTCATCACGCTGGCCCCCTGGGAACGTGGCATGGATGAAATGAGGTGTATGCAAAAAGCAGGGCTTTTAAACTAGGGATCGACACGCTTTTTCAAGTCAAAGGCCAGACCGTTCTTACCTTAGGCTTCTGCAGGAGCTGCGAAGCCGGGCTCCACTAAGATGAGGGGTCACAATTTGCTCACCCTGGCTCAGGGAAAACTTTCAGTGAACGGTCCCTATTGTCATCCACCCCACAATTATTTCCCAAGTATTATAAAGAAATAGTTGGTACTTAAGCCAGAAAACAAATGCTTTGTAAAACCAGGAACAACTGACATTTGCATTTGGTTCTGAATTTGTTCCTTAAATGATAATGCTTTTTAAAAAACATTAAAACTTTCATAATTTAAAGATGTGTTTCTTAAGTTATGAAAATATTTAACTCACAGATGGACACTTCAAGTATTATTATAAACGAATCCTCTGGTTTGCACCCATTTCCTAATTTCTATTTTTTATCTTTAACGTCAAGCATTCCATTCTAGTTGTAATTTAAATAATTTCTTCTTTATCCTTACTCATTTAAAAATACATGTACGATATTAGGTAAGCAAGCTTACCTTCTTCATCTTCACTTCTCTACCATTTTTCTTTCTTTTTTTTTAAATCATTCGTGGGGCTTGAACTCTGGGCCTGGGCGCTGTCCCTGCGCTCTTCAGCTCAAGGCGAGCGTTCTACTGCTTGTGCCACAGCACCACTTCCGGTTTTCTAGTGGTTTACTGGAGGTCAGAGTCTTACGGACTTTCCTGCCAGGGCTGGCTTTGAACCAAGATCCTCAGATCTCAGTCTCCTGAGTAGCTAGGATTACTGGCGTGAGCCACTGGTCCCCGGCTTTCTCTACCGTTTTATTCAATTCATCCCTGCATGAAATAATTTCTCATTCTCATATTAATTTATTAACTTCTATCTGGTTGAAGAAACTAAGTGACCGGGAAAGATTAGACAAGAACCTGGCCTTTGCTCTCAGCACAGGCCTATGGGCCTATGTGAACTGTGAGGAACTGAGGAGAAGGAGCAGGACACATAGCCCCAGCAGGAGCCTCACTGCTTCCACTTCACAACTGCAGCTCTTCATCCAAGGATGAAAAAGCTACAGGGGGCCATGTGATCATTCCAACGGAAGTGGGTGGGGCCACGTCCAAAGACAACGGGACCACAGTTCTTATGCTTAGCTCCGCATCTAACTTCCTGAACCCCTCCAAGACCTTCTAAAAGAGATTAGATGGGTACTGGTGGCTCACACCTGTAAACCTAGGTAGTCAGGAGACTGAGTTCTGACCATCAAAGATCAACGCCAACCCAAGCAGACAAATCTGAGACTATTACCTCCAATTAACCATCAAAAAGGCGTAAGTGGAGGTGTGGCTCAAGTGCTCAGAGTGCCAGCCTTGAGCAAAAAAGCTGGGGATCTGGGCAGCAGTGGGTCACACTGTAATCTTGGCTATTCAGGAGGCTGGTAGATCTGAGGATAGCAATTCAAAATGGGCACCCAGTCCCTGACTTCAAGCATCCTCTGCCCTGACATACATACAAAAGCTAAAGAAGAAACTCTTATCTGAGTTCAAACCTGATACTGGCGTATGCACATGCACACATACATGCACACACAGTTTATTTTTTAAAACATACATGTCTCCTTTTACTGGCCTCTCATGTTGTATGTAACCTTTTTGTCATATTAAAGTCACAAAATTAAATATTTTCAGAGTTCAAGAGGAATTCGTCCAAGCAATGCAGAAATAAAATAACAACAAATGAAAAACCATGTCCAGTAAAGAATCATTCAATGTGCCTACCACCACCAGGTTCTGCTCACTGAAGCCCTTTGCCTTTTTTTTTTTTTTAAGTTTTCTTTCTCCTTTTTTTCTTTTTTCTTTTAGCTTTCTTTTTTCTTTGAGTTTCTTAAAAATTGTTATTATAAGGGTGATGTGCAGAGGGGTTACAGTTACCTAAGTCAGTAATAAGCACATTTCTTTTTCGACGTCAGTCCTTCCCTTACTCTCTCCGTTTTTTTTTTTTTTAAAGCTAAGAAACAAACATTATCATCAAAGCAAGTAGTTAAGGGGATATATATACATATATATATACATATACACATATATATATATGTATATAGTCTATCCATCTCAGTCTATGAAGCACTGTTATGAAAATGTGAGAGTGCCAGCCTGTTGCAGAAAATTGAACAAATATTAAGGAAGATGAATTAAGGTAACAAGAGAAAAGGCTTAAATTTGTTCAAATCATCACTGTTGAATAATCAAAAGCAAATGAGAATGTCCATCACAAACTGATGGCTGGTGGCAGAAAAAAAAATCCAAAGCACAAGACTATAAAACAATGGCACTATAGTCTAAATAATGTAGCCCAATTAAAATCAACGTTCTTAGCATTTTCTTTACCACTTTCCACTAAGAGTAAACTCATGTGGTCTGTGGTGGTAAGCTGGCATCAGCAAAAAGTGAGAGCTCTGTTACTTCCACATCCTAATTATCCCCGCCAGGGAAAGTGGAGCAGCGTGGTGGGCTTGCACTGCTCATGTCGGCTTTGATGGCAGGAAAATATGTGCTCAGAGACCATAATGCAGGCAGTGTGAGCACTGTAATAAATGAGCCTTTGTGTCAACAGGTGGGCATGTTAGATTTGGAGAGAGAAAGGTTGAAATCAGGTACAGAATATATATTGGAAAAACATATACTCAAGCACAAGTACTCCCTATTAGAGCAATTGTGTTAATTAGAAAACAAAAGAGAATTAAAATGCCCCATTTTCTAAATTATGCTTGCCCTCTGTAGTAAAAGTCAGCATAACGGTTCCATTTAATTGAATAATTAGATTGGTTCTTTAGGGGTTTTCCATTGTGCACTGGTTGGATTTGAAGAGATTTTCCAAAACTATACTTTGAAGTCACTAGAATCTTTCTGCATGACAGCATTTGTTCTTCTTTGTAGGCCCACCCATTGGACTAGGTTACCTCTGCATATTACTTAGAATGGAGAAAGTAAGCTACATGTGCAGAGCAGCCAAATGTGAAACAGAGAAAGAACTAGTAAGAGCTACTGCTCACTGAATGCCTAGTGTGTGGTAGGAAGTCCCATAAGCTTTATGTAAATGAACTAAAATTGAATTCTACAATCCCTCATGAAAGTGTCATCTAGATCATCAACAAACTGGAAATACACACTTTCACAACAGAATATGCTAGAACATGGATTCCCAGGGGACACTTGCCCCATCTACCTTCTTCATTAGAAGGATGTTTCTGAAGAGAAATAATAGGATGATAAATTCTCTACAAAATGAAATTGTTTCTGTTCAGACAATATACAATAGTGACCTGAGTAGCAGGCCAACATCTACATGAATGAGCACTTTTTTTTTTTTTTTGGTCGGCTGTGGGGCCTGGGCGCTGTCCCTCAGCTCTTCAGCTCAAGGCGAGCACTCTATCACTAGAGTTACAGCGCCACTTCCGGTTTTCTGGTGGTTTATTGGAGATAGGAGTCTCACGGTCTCTCCTGCTCGGGCTGGCTTTGAACCTAGATCCTCAGATCTCAGCCTCCTGAGTAGCTAGGATTACAGGCGTGAGCCACCAACGCCCGGCTATGAATAAGCACTTTTTAAAGGGAAACTGTCTTGCAAGTTACCCAAATATCTGAGGGTTTTTATTCCTTTGGCCCTATCTCATATATATATATATATATATATATATACACACACACACACACACACACACAAACACATATATAAATATATACACACATATATAATTATATACACTATATATAGTGTATATATACACATATATATAAATATACACACACTATATATAATGTATATATATGCATATATATACTATGAATATATATATAGTATATATTATATAGTGTGTGTGTGTGTTTGTGTGTGTAAATGAAAATATTCCCAAATTTATCTGTCCCAACCATCTTCACTCCACCAAAATTACTCCAAAGCATTATTATCTATAGATATTCCGGGGGCGGGAGGTGCAACTACACAATTTGCTCTCTGGTGACTTGCTAAGAATCCTTGGTTCCATGTAGTGCTTCTTTTAGGGTACAGTCTAATCATTATAAGATGGTCTTCCCTAGAGAGGAAACTCAATCTACTCAAATTCCTCCAGGCTAAAGGGCAGGATCAAATCATCTTCTCTTTTTTCTGTCTTCACTAAATAAATTAACTCCCTAGCCCGTTTTACACCAAATGGGTTTCTGAGCTCCCACTTAGATAAATTTTAGTTTTTTTCTCTCTTACTTTCTCAGAGCTTGTTCTCTAGTTCTTGTTA